CGAGTCGGTATAATTTTCGATGGCGTGAATACCATGAGTGGTGGGTGGCAGGTGGCGAAGTTTTAAGGAGACTTCGCCATGGTCTCCAACCCTCGTCCTTTCTTAACCGGGCTTGGGACGGGCGGCGGCGGAGTTGCGTTGTTAATCAATTATTATACTAATAACTATCTAAGCAGAGTTTGCATATTACCGTGTAACTGCGGGAAATATTAAACAGGGGAAACATGGAACACCCCAAGAACACCCCAACTCGAGGAACAAAGACCCACGTATCGAGATGTAAATGACAGATTAATGTAGAAGACATTCTGTAGCATTGTCATGTAATAAGCAGTAATAAGCGACAACATGCAGCACCGTGACTGCCGATCGTGAGTCACTGATACAGGTTTACCCGGCGTAGTGGTGTAATTCATAAAATTCAACCTACAGGCAAAAATACCTTAAAAGTAAAGCACGCCAGAACTCATTGAGATCACAGAACGCATGAAGTGCATGAACACGGAGTGTTACAGATTCAAGCACCAGCATTTTGCTAGTAAAGCAACAGAGTACCGGTTTTATTATAGTGTACCCATATAATGAACCTTTAAATCTTGTAACTAAACCTTATATGCATGTTATAGTCAACAGTGGTAGTATGTGCAGTAACAGGGACGAACTACATACGTTATGTCATGCTAAACATTATATGCATGTCACCACCCAGAGTGGTAAGTCATTCAACTCGCTAGGTACCGCAACTACTAAACACACCAATCCACAATCGTATGCATTAAAATGGATCACTATTCAGCCTAGTAAATCATGGGCAGCTTTCCATTCTTGATGATGCAGCCATTCGAAACGTCTGTATTAAAAAGCAGCTTACACAATTTGCAAAGCAAACTAACGCTACTGGATTGCAGACGCTAACGACTTTCAGCATTCCATAAGAAAATCAAGACAGGTAAAATATCGTTTAACTTCTGATTTGGAAACACTCAGGGCGCAGCATTAAGGTTAAAGTTTTCATAGCAAGATAACGACACTTAAGACAAAATAGACAGAAAACTGTTCGTCAGACATTTGAGAATTTATGCGCGTACAAGGAGTCACAAGAAAGTAATATTTAACAGCTAATGAACTGTTCAAACACTACGGCAGTCCAGTGTTTTCATGCAACAAGGTACATAACGTAATGCACAATCACATCTTCCATAAGTGAACGCCGAGTCGATGAAACACTACGACATTCACAAGACAACAGAACCCATCTCAACAAGGAACGAAACAGGAATCTTGGGCGGTGCACATTCGAGAGCGTCCGACCCAGATAAAAAAATCATGATTTCTAGTCATGGTGGGATAACTGGTTGTTCAGCCTTCAGAAAAAACTGAGCACAAATGAAGAGGAGCTCTCTATACTCGTAATATAGCTACGGATAGAGCCTTTAAGGCAAAGCGTCCCTGACTCGTGGCAGTGAAACGGAGATCAGTAAAACGCCATAAGCTCGATTAAAAGAACGATTCCATAATTGGTGCCAGGCAATGAAGGGCAAGAGACGACTCCCAAGTGGTTACAAACTTTCTTTACTTTCCTTTCAACAGCAGCACTCTGAGTTGCCGAAGCACTATGCCATACACAAGAAAACGGTCCGCTTCTACAGCGTGAAAACTTAAATTTAAAGTATAAAATTGTTGTAGGAACGTTACCGGCAAAGTGCCACCAAGAAACAATTAACAAACCTGATCTGAAAGCTGGCCAACAAATGCTGCAGCGCGAAGTCGACGCTTCACGAAATCTTCTGTTGCGGTAA